TCTCTCTCTCTCTTTTTGTCTCTCTCTCTCTCTCCCTTGGTAACTATCATTTGCTTTTTGTCTCGGGAGTCCTCTCGCAAGACATAGGTGGTCATATGATCAACGTCACTGCGATTAATACAAACCAGAATTATCCCAGTGCGACCCTACCTAGGAGTTGGAGCATTTAGGAAAGCAACATCTACATCTGCACCGACAGCTACATTTACATATACACCTGCATCTACATCTACATCTACATCAACAGCGAGATTCACATCTACATCTACACCTACATCTACATATACATCTACATCTACACCTACATCAACATCTACACCTACACCTACATATACATCTACATCTACACTTTCGCATTGGGTTTGAGTTTGCTGTGCATTGCATTTGCTTGTGCTCTTGCCTTTGATTTTGCTTTGGCTTTTGCTGTGCTTTGCTTTGCGTTGCTAGTGATTTGCTTTGCTGTTGCTGATGTTGCTTTGCCTTTGCTTTGCTGCTATGATATGCTATGCTATGATATGCTATGCTATGCTATGGTATACTATGCTGCACTATGCTGTGCTATACTATGCTGTGCTATGCTATGCTATGCTGCGCTATGCTGCGCTATGCTATGCTACGATAGGCTGCGCTATGTTATGCTAGGCCATGGTATGCTATGCTATGCTGCGCTATGATATGCTATGCTGTGCTACGCTGCGCTATGCTATGCTATGCTATGCTATGCTGCGCTATGCTATGCTATGCTGGGCTATGCTATGATATGCTAAGCTAAGTTAAGCTAAGCTAAGCTACAGCTAAGCGATGCTAAGGTGAAGCTAAGCTAAGCTAATATGAAATAAGCTAAGCTAAGATGAGATAAGCAACGCTAAGCTAAGGGGACGTAACTGGGGGAACCGTGGGGCGGATGCCGGGGGAACCGCCCGGGGCGCGTTCCACTGCCCGGCCCTTAAGCCCAGAGGGTAAGAACCCTTCTAGGCAGAGCCTAGGTAGGGAATTACCCATAAACCATGTCGCGGGTCCTCACAACTGGTAAAAGTGCTGAAATGTGTGTTTCTCCTCTGGCCCAACCTCTTGAGTGCCATCCATGGCGGCGCTAAGTCACTCCTACACGACAAGCAAAGAGGGAGAGAGAGAGAGAGAGAGCGAAATACACATAGAGATAACACGACAACAAAACGAAGACATGCCGAACTACAGAACACTAATCAACCGACCCTGTGTGAGAAAAGGAGTTCTGGGCTGGTCATCCCGGGTGGTCGCGGGCAACGCTCTTTGAATCGAAATGTTGCTTCCCTTCCGGGCGGCCACCTTTGGCTCTCCAAGCTCGCCAACCCGAGGTGAGTCGAGCCAGGCCGCCATCGAGTCAAGTGGAAGCCCCTCCCCTTTGATCCTTTCTCCGTCAGCAGGCCCCCAGGAAACCATCATGAGGCCCCGGAGGCCCCCAGTAAGCACCCAAGAGGCGCCCAAGCCCCCAAGAGGCCCTCAAGAGGCGTCCAAGAGGCGCCCCAAGATACCCTGATATGCATTCACGAGGCCTCTGGCCTACGACCCAAGCGCGGTGGCGGGATGCGCCGAAGGGCGCGATATGGAGGGGGGGCCGTGTTTTGCCTCTCCTCCAGTCTTGGGGTGCTCTTGGCCTGCCTTCGTGCGTTTCTCAGCTCCCCCCTGGCGGCCGCAAGATCCTTTGGTCCCCGCTCCTCGGCTCCTCGCTGTCTTCCCGGGGCCTTCTGATCTCCCCATTCAGGGTCGGCGGCACCATGCGCAAGGTCTCACAAGCAGACAAAACGAGACGGCCTGATGAACGAACGAACGAAACACCACTGCGGCCAGCCGTCCGGGCCTACCGAAGGCCTGGTGGGAGAGGCTGTGGCCTCCTCAAATATGTACTGTCGGAAAACACGCGGCCTTGTATAGGAACAACGAGACAAAAAGAACGAGCTACGACAGAGGAGGCAAGGGAGGGGAATCAGTCCTGGATGTGGAGGTCGGCGTGCTATCGTTACGTGGGGTGTAGGCATTGCCGTGCGAATGTCAAAGGGGGGCATGAACCGTGCCAGCCCAGGTAAGGACGTTTGGTTGGCCTTTTGTTGCGGTCGGTCTGGGCGTTGCATGCAGGTCGGGTCTGGGCTGTTGGAGAAAATGGACGGCATCGTTTTCCCAATGTTTGCGTTGCAGGCCGCACTGTCGCTAGCCCCGTTGTCGTGAATTGTCTCCAGATTGCCAATGGACTGCTGCGCGTCCATCTGGTGGGGTCGTGGCTAGCGACTCTTAACGCCATGCGCCACGACCTCTGTCTATGATTCGTCTCCATGTTTGCGAATCGGTGGCGCTGCATGACCTGCTCTGCGAGCCGCGATACTCGTTGGATGTATTCGGCCCATGGATCCATCGTGTCCTCGTCGTCGTTGTTGTCGTTGCTCTCGCCGTGCTGGTGAGTTGCGTCTTGCCGTGGTGCGTTGCTGTCAGCGTCGTCGTTGCTGCCAATGCGTCCGGGTCGTCATCGGGTGCTTCGTCGGTCGCGCCGACGTCGGTCCCGCCGTGGCTGCTGCGAAAGATTGCGTGGTACGTACTGCGTCGTCTTGGCGGTCTGATGATCATGCGGAGCACGCGTCGTTGTAATCGTCGCATGTGTTGCCGGAGAGATTCCGTGAACGTCCGTGTCTCTGCTCCGTAACGTGCCGTCAGTGTGACTGTGCAGTTGAAAAGTCGAAGCCAGTGCACCAAAGGGTACGGCTTGCTGGTCAAAGTTTGCTTGTGATATGTGAACGATGCCAACGCAACTCTCGTGCGGGTGTGAATATATGTCTCCATCGCGTCGTGGAAGCTGATGAGCTGTACGAGATATATGATACTGCCCTCGTGCGGAAGAATGTCGATGCCCATGCCAAGGACGCGCACTGCGCGCGAGCTTGCCCTTCCAGTTCGTCTCGTCCACTTGCTGTAAATTCTGGTTTGGGAAAAGTGCAGCTCGAGTCCGTGAGGTCACGCTGCGCGCGCGATGTCGTCAAGCATCCCAATGAGGCGCAGGAGAGCCTGGCTGGTCAGGAGCACGTCGTCTGCGAAGCGAAGATTAATGAGTGCGGCGGTGGTGGTGAATCCCAATTCGGCTCCTTTGCCTTTTGTTTCGCCATTCGACAATTAGCGGCGCAAGGATGTGTTACAAAAGAGTGTTGAAGAGTAGGGAGCTGAGCGGGTCACCTTGTTTCGTGCCCAGCAGAAGGCTGAAGGGCCTGCTGCTGACGTTAGTCCTGGCTGTGGCCGTCTGGCCCACGTTCACCTGGTGGACTAATGAAATGTAAATTTGCTGAACTCTTTGCGCCCTGAATGCCGCCCACATGCTGTTGTGCTCGACGGTGCAAAAAACCTTTTCTAACATCGAGTGCTGCGACCCGTAAAATGTGGTTCCATTCGCGCGCGCACTCTCGGAGGATGTGAACGGTGAGCAGATGTTCGGTGGTCGAACGTCCCGGTCTGAAGCCTGCTTGGTCAGCTGTCTGTCGAGAGTCGAGGGAGGGTTAGAGTCTGTTGCAGAAAAGGTCTGTTGAAAAACTTGTACACCAATGGAATCCTGCAGATGAGGCGGTAGTTTTACGGAAGCGTAAGGCCCCTACCTTTTGGAAAAACGGTGACAACAGTCTTCTTTCAGCTGGCCGTTGACGGAACGTTGAACTGGACAAGTGTGTTGCAAAATTGAAGAAATGCCTCTTGGAGTTCTTCTGAACCTTCTTTCAGCATCTCTGCTCGGAGACCCTTGGTGTCGGGGGCATTGCCAAGCCACAGCCCTTGCGTCGCCCTGTCCAACCCGGTCCTCGTGAAAGGCGGAAGGTCGCCGCCCCGTCGCTGCTGCTGCGTCGGCCCTATCGTAGACTTGTAGAGGTGTTCGTAAAATTGTGCAGGAACGTCAACTGGTTCTTGTCGTGTCGTTCGTTTCGCACCGTCCTTGTCTGTCATGTGCGTGATGAGGATCCGCTGTCTGCGTGTCTTCATGCTCGCGATGCTCTTCAAATCTCTGAATTGCTCGAGTACACAAGCTATGTGAGCTCGTCGTGTCCTCCGTTTCCGTGCGCGGATCTCCTGCTGTAAAAGTTTGCTCAGTTGCTTGCGGGTTGGGTGGTCGTTATTGGGTGTGTGGTGTCGCTGCTCCATTAAGGAGTGCAGTCGTTCTTCTCCTCTGTTCGGCTGTCGGTCTGCTTGTCGCTTCCTGGCAGCGCTGGCTGCAACAGCGTCGAGGAGAACGTTTTGTATGTGTTCGCGCAGTGCTTGTGGGTCGCCTGGTAGCTCTGTTGGATGCAATCGTGGGCGCTGGCGTTCGTGGTAGATGCTTGCGTCGGTGACTTAACCTGTCGGTATGGGTGTTGAAGGCTTGTGCTGTCGTCGCTCGTCGTCGCGCCGTGGCTCCCACAATTCTGGAACTGCACAGCAAACCGGATACGGACTGACCAGAGGTCAGGCCAAGTGGCGCGGTTGGCAGGACAGATGCCATACGCATCAGAAGCACAGGCGCAGGTGCACGCATGGGTTTGCACATGCAGGCGTAGGCGTGGGCTGAGGCCCCAGGCGCAGGCACAGACGTGGCCGCACAGACAGAGCCGTGGGCAGACGCAGGCAGACACCGACACAGGCAGGAGCAGACAGGCGGCACAGTGAGAGAAGAGAGCGCGCCGAGGCGGCATCCGAGCCCCGCGCCGCCACCCGAGCCGCCCTCCTGCTTCGGCCGCTTCTGCTCCTGCTTCTGCTCCTCGCTCGGCGCGCCGCCGGGAGCCGACGTGTCCAGAGCCGAGAGGCTCGGGGGACGAGGGGGCGGAGCACGGTTTGATGGGCTCATTTCCCACCACCACTACCGTATGTAGGAGAGGGGGGAGGAGGAGGAGGAGGAGGAGGAGGAGGAGGAGGAGGAGGAGGGAGGAGGAGGAGGAGGAGGAGGCGGAGGAGGAGGAGGAGGGAGGAGGAGGAGGAGGAGGAGGAGGACCTCCTCACCCTCCCTTGTCCCCGACCAGCATGTGGTAGTGGTGGTGGAACGTTTGCCCATCACGGTTGAGTCCAATCCTGCTCCCTATGAGAAGCCCTGGGCAGGGAGCAGGGAGCATCCGGCCCCCTGCGAGACCACAGCGGGTCTTGTCCCCGAGCCTTCCGCCAGGCGACAGCAGAGGCTCGCGGCGCGCAGGCACAGGCAGGAGCTCCGTCGCCACTGGGAGCCACGCCGCGCGCCTCGTCGCAGCCAGCTGGTGTGCGGTCTCGCTGCGCTCCCGGCCGCCGCCGCGGGGCGCAGAGGCATACACGCCGGGGGCCCGTCCTTCTTCGCCTTCTTCTCCTGCTTCTTCAGCTGCTTCTTCTCCTGCGGCCACGCGGGGGAGGAGAAGGAGGAGGAGGAGGAGGAGGAGGAGGAGGACACCGGACTGGATGCGGAAGGAGGGCGGGGGAGAAGGAGGACGCCGACCACAGAGAGAAGGGGCCAGAGAAGGCCAGACCTGCGGAGCTCCTGGTGCAGCTTCCCGACATGATCTGGTCTGCGCGCCACGTACGTATGGGCCGTCACGTGCGACACATCGTACCCTTAGGTCGGGCGTGTCCCCCTACATGCGGATTTTGGACAAAACATGGAAAATACTCAACAACATATTCCAAACATATTTAAACAATTGTCAAACAATCGTCCCCAGAGTTATTTTCTGGGGCTTTTATTGAATTTCCTCCGGTGGAGGGACATGCCCGACTTCATATCTGGAGGGCGGGCCGCCTAAATACGAGCCCACGAGGCGAGCGAGCACGGGGGAGGAGCACCACCCAGCGCCCTGCAGGGAGGGAGCGACGCGGCCTCCGGGACGGACGTCGGCTGCGCGGGGAGGCGGCGGCGAGAGAGCGGCCTCACGCCCTCCCTTTGGGAGCCCACAAAGGACGCACGCGCCGAGCTATGTACATGAACATGGCCCCTCGATCCGCGAGACTGACCGCGTGATACGAACATTTGCGCAATGCGCACTCTCGAAACCAGCGCGGATTCATGTACATGTGCGTTCTTCTTTCCCCTCCTTCATTCGATGATCCTCGGAACGCGTATTAACTAGAGGCAGAAAGACGGCAGAAACATAAACCTTTGGCGTTCCGCGCGAGTTTCTTGGATCTGCTCCGCCCCTGGCGCGCGGAGCGCGCCAGGGGCGGCGCCGGAGGCGCCGCCAGGGGGGCCCAGCGCGGATCCAAGAAACCCGCGCGGAGCCCCAAAAGTGTAAGTATGTTTATGGCGCTTCATCTTCTTCGATTAACGTCAACGTGGGCTTGTCCACCAGAGCCCTTCGATTGAGACGCAGACGGCGCAGATGAGGGCCGACACAGGCCGCGTGCTGCCAGCGGAGCGGGCCAACACACACACACACACATTGGGCTAGCACACGTCCTGAAGACCATCGACTCGCGCATGGGAGCGGGGGGCTGAGGCATGGGCCTGCAGCGACCGACGCGGCGACAGATCGCCAGGCTGGCAACTCCGCTGCCCACCCCGCTCGGGCGATGTTTCTCGCTGCTCCCGCGCTCTCCCCCCCTGGCCCTGCTCATAGGCGCCACTAGGGCCCACCGATCGCCGCCTGCAGCGCAGAAGCCACGCGCGCCAGGGGCCTGGAGCCCTGGAAGCCCTTGCTTTAACCGCGCTGCGGCATGCCCCCGGCGGTGCCCGCCATGGACTCTGCCCGGAGGTCCGCACCTGCCTGTCCTCCTTTCTCATCTCGGCGCGGACTAACGGGGGAGGATAGCAAAAGTGGGGTTGGCGAATCAGCCGCCGTGCAACCATAGCATCTCTGCCAGCCGTTCCGAGGTCCTGACCGAGGAGAGACCCCAGAACCAGCTGCTCGCACCAGTCTCCGTATACCCCCCTTTCTCACTCCCCTCCGATCAGAATCAGCTGAACGTACCGATTCCCGCAACGCCATCTCTTTCCCAATGCACCCCCGCCCCGGTCGTCCGCCCTGGTCCTCCCATACACTCGATGCATTGTTTTTGCTCCGTGCGGGGACCCCGGGAAAACCGACCCCGGCCGCGGTAATTCCCTTTGTGGACGGCCCCGGGTCCCGGCGAGGGCCCCCGGAGGTCGAACACACTGGGAACCCTCGCCATGTGCTGTTTTTTTTGCTTGCCCCTTTGGCGACGCGAGCATGTCTGGACTCCCGCCCCGCTCTCCTTCTTCAGGCGCTTCTTCTCTTTCTTTTTCCTCTTCTTGCCGCTGCTGGTGGAGGAGCTGCTCGAGGAGCTGCTGCTCTTCGCCTTGCCGCCTGCTGGGGCGAGCTCTGACCGAGCGCGGCTCGCGCAAAGAAAGCGCCCTCGCCCTCCCCTCCGACATTGCATCCTTCTTCGTGACGTCAGCCCCCGTTATGTTGCATTCCCGGGGGGCCTGGTCTGTCCCGTTGCGGCCCTATCCGCGTCGAATCCGTGTCGAATCCATGCTGGACTCGTCGGATCCATGTCGAATCCGTGTCTCGAATCCGCGTCGAATCCACGCCAAATCCGCGTCGAGTCCACACCGAGCCCGCGTCGGGCACAAGAAAAGGCAACAATTTTGGGGACATGCGAGGCCCCCCGAAGATGCAACGCAAGCCCCGATAATCTCGACCACTTTTCCAGGGTAGTATTTGTTGTTCATCCTGGGTAGCGTGTTGATGGTCCTGGGGCCTGGAAGCGGCCCCTGGAGGCCGAAAGCGACGACAACCAGGCCGTCGCGATGTTCTGCAACACCAGGACCTGCGGGAGCATGGATGGAGGATGGAGGCCCCAGAGCTTCTCCTCCAAACTCTTTTGGAGGCATTTGGAGCGGGAGATTGGGGGACCAGACCGCGCCGTGAGACAAGTGCGGCAAACTCTGTCGGCAATCTTCGGCCTATGGAAGCTCTTACCAGGTCCGCGAACACCGTCAGAAGCCACCTCGCGAACAATGAGACACGGGTCCTGGGCACGGGGTCGAGACCTCTGGGGTCGAAACAGACATGCGACGTCGAAGACGTGGGGAGGAGGATGGAAGAGGGGCCCTGGCGGTCTCCCCAGACCCCCTCGGGCAATGAAAAAGTCATGACAGGAGGTTTTTGCTATTTTCGGCCTCGGGGGGCCCTCGCTGGGCCTCGGGACCGTCAGAAAAAAGATTCGGGACGAAAAACCGGTCCAAGGGAATGGGTCGAGACCTCCAGGAATCGACGTAATGACAAAAATCATGACGACGGGGGTCTGGGTCTGGAGCCCTGTAGAACTCCACAGACTTTCCGCGATGCCGAACATCCGCGTCGCCCTGGCAAAGCCCCCTGGCGTTGCAATTGTCGATCCGCGTCGCATGTTGGCCGATCTACGTCGCATATTGAGAACGCGTTGCGACGGAACCGTTAGAAACCACCAAACATCTCCCGGCGACGGGTGATGCTGACAGACGACAAAGATGTTGCACCCAACGGACGTCTACCACGATGGCGACTATGTTGAGCATCGCCTTGACAAAACAGACACCATGAGCTATCGTAGTGGTATCGCAAGCGAAATTGATTGTCGGCTGTGGGTTCCACGGGATCCTCCGATGTCACTAGAAATCCAAATGCCCTGAGGGTTCCGCTTCATAAAAAGGATCCAGGGAGATTCCGATAATGATAAGGTGGAGTTCATCAAGGGTCCCTGAAGAAATCGCCAATGAACCATTAAGGGACCAATCGAGTCTCCCCGAGGTTTCCTTGCATGTGTTTTCAGGTTCATGTAGGGTCGTTCTGGATTGCCACAAGCATTCCGTTCATGGAGACCAACAGGATTTCTTCGGAATTCCAGTCCCTCCAGGCTTCCTAGGCCCAGCCCACCGCAGTCCAAGCAATCCAAACCCAACACATTGCAATCTAAACCAATCTAAGTTGGCCCATCCGGCCCCAACCCTATCCGTCGCGCAACGGCCATCGCTGCCAAACGCTCCAGTCAAGTCGTCGGGTCCGCAACGGTATAGCATAATCTAAGCATCACATCATGCCACAAAACATCTCGCACTCATGCGACGGCGACGACAACGACGACTACGACGACGACGATGACGACGACGACAACGACATACCATGGCAACTTATGCGAGCCGTGCCGCGACACGCCCTTCCGCGGCGCACCCTTTGCGCGGCTGCCCTCCTGCGCCGCTGGCGCCTCACGTGACGCCGCTTGGCGCTCCGCGTCGCGTCTCGCTTCCGAGCCGCGTGCTGGGCCGATTTGCGGCTCATTGTGCCGAAATGCCATGACAGGGGAGATGTCGACCCCTCTCCCAAGCTTCGTGGGGTTCTCGAACGGACCAGAAATTTGAGGCCCAACCCTGGGATATACCATGGGGGGGCGTCCGTCCGTCATTGATAGGGGTGCGTCCGAATAGCCCCCTTAGGGTATATCCCAAGGTTTCCCCCGTCTCCCGAGCGGCCAAACATTCCGGGTGGAACTCTGGGATTGGGGGGGAAAATCGCCTGCGACTCTTCGTCGGCTCTTCGTCGCATGTTGGCCCAAGTGCCCCAAAGTGAATTCTCGTGACGCAGCTTTCCGGCGCGGCGGACGGCTAGGGTCTTTCCGATGGCCCCTCCGGAGCAGGGAAGGGGGGGGGCCCAATGGTCTCAAGGACCCTCCTGGACCTCTTCTGGAGGCCTTCACGGAAAATGGGGAGGAAGAGGGAGGAGGAGAGAGAGAACGATGAAAGAAGGCGCAGGCGGTCGTCGGAACTTCCAAGAACTCTTCCAGAGGAGTCTGAAAGCTACAGGGTGTAGGTTCAGAAGTTCGCTCTGTACGCATTCGTACGTTAATACGTCGACACGCGTAGATCGTGCACGTGTGTGCACGGATGACAATGTACGCAAGTGCATTCGGAGTCTTCTGCATAGAACTCGTGCGTCAAGAGCACAGCGCGCGTCTCGAACAGTACTGTGCGCAAGAAGAAGCGGCGGTTGACGCTTGCGGGCCTATCCCCAGCAGCTTCTTCTGCCTTGCTATCCTGGCGCGTGGAACCAGCATAGCTCGGACAATCGACGTATTCGACAATGCACCTCGTATTACCGATCGGCATTGGGTGGTCTTCGGCGGTCTTCTGACGGAGGATCTTCGGCTGTCATCTGACTGTCTTCGGTGTAAAGGCTGGATGGCTGCGTTCAACAAAGGGCCCATGGCAGAACACGCAACAAGATGAAGCCTCTCTGCAAGTCTTCTCGTTCAATCAGGGCTCGAGCCGCGCGCCTCTCTGTGACAACAACTCCCACGTGAACAAGCGATCGCACGGACTGCTTCCACCCTGCGAACGCTTGCTTCGAAAACATAGAAAGGAGGACGGAGACGAGCCAAATGATAATTACGATGGACAAGCGTGCTCGGAATTGCGGGCCTGAAGGCAATGAACTACACCGCGAAACGGTTCATCGCTGCGCACCCCAAACTCCGGTTGCAACCATACTTATTCAGCGCCACGTCGCAGACCGCCAGGATCACGCAAAGAACGATCGGCACGTGTCGGCACGCCCCGAATTGGAACAGACAGCAGGAGACGAGGCCCCACAGCAAATGTCGTCCAGCACCCACAGCGTTCTGTTGGGCATTCGACTCTGATCCCTGGCGACACCGACAGCGGGTCTTGTTCAAAATGGGCGGGAACTGCTGCTGGTCTTCGTCACCGTCCATTCCGTTCCCATGTCGGCCTCCCGGCGTGGTGCCAGGCCTCCTGGTGAGCTCCATCTCGAGACCCAGCACCGCCGCCAGCAACGAAGCCCCGACCAACCCATGCGGGTGGCACGGGTCGATGAAGAGGATCGCCTTCGGGAGCGCTGTCCACGATCGGGCGCACGGGCACCGGGCACGGTGACTGATCTCGTCACACATCTCGCGCAAGACCCGTCGCGGTCGAAACACTGGCGGGCTGCAGCGCGGCGAACGGCACCTGTGCGAACGGAGACCAGCCAACAAAGCAGTCGCGGCGAACACGTGCCGAGATGGCCACGGAGAGAAATGCCCAGGCACGTGGAGGTTCAAGAGAATAGAATGCACGTTTCCCAGAGTTTTCTGACTCCACAAGTATGATGCACAGGACAAGAGGGCCACCCGCATGATGAGCACCGTTGCAACCACCGCCCTTCAATCCGCCAGCCCCCTTGTGGGGCCACCACGCTGTAGGGCTAGGGTTTGCTGCTCCCTGCACCAGTTGCAGGTTCCAGTTTCCACTGTTACAGGTTTGCTTGATGCTTCCTACTGTTAATTGTGACTGTCCGCGCGAAGGGGGGGAGCCGAGAAGGAACCGAGTTACCACGCCCGAATCGCGTGCTCTGCACTCCTGGGGGGATGTGGGACACGTAAAAATACTTGAAATTCGCGCCCCCGAGTCCATATACCCTCGTAAATTACACAATGATCGCGCCCCCGAGGCCATAACCCTCATGAATTAAACCGTACTCGCGTCCCTGTAGCCATGAACCCTCGAAAGATACACCAGATTCGTGTCCCCGAAACCATAAACCCGCGTAAATTACGCGATGCTTGCGTCCCCGAGGCCAAAAACGCTTGCGAATCACCCAATAGTCGCGTCCCCGAAGCCATATAACCCTTACGCAAATTAAGCCATATTCGCGTCCGAATCCAAAAACCTGCGTAAGTAATACAATAGTTGCCACCCCGAAGCCATGACCCCTCGTAAACTACACAAGAACTGCATGTCCGAAGCCGTAAGCCCTAGTAAATGACACCATATTCGCGTCTCCGAAACCATAAAACTGCGTGAATTATCTGAGGGGGCCACACTCTGCAACCGGCGCCCCCCCGACCTCAAGGTCTCAAACGCCACGAGGACGACCCAAGAGCGCCCCAAACCGGTCTTAGAGAGTCCCGAGCAGCCCAAGAGAGCCTCCAGACGATTCCAGATCGCTCCAAGAAGCCCAAGATGGCCTCCAGACGGCCCAAGACGCCTCCAAGACGGCCCAAGAGGCCTCCAAGAGTGCCCCCAAGAGAGCCCCAACACGCACAAATTATTGATTGTCCCATGGTTTTTGAATGATTTTCGCGTTCAACAAGCCCCCAAGGGGGCTCCAAGACGGCCCAGGAGGGCACCATGACGGCCCAAGAGGCTCCCGGAACGGCCCAAGAGGGGCCCCAGGACGGCCCCAACAGGGGGCCCAGACGGGGAACCCGAACGGACATTTCGAGCTTTCGGTCCCAAGAAGCCCCCAGGAGGACCTAAACAGGCCCCCAGGTGGCTCCCAAGATGCCCCAAGAGGCCCCCAAGAGCACCCAATGGGGCCCCAAGAGGCTCCCCAGAAGCCCCCAGGAGGCCCCCAAGAGGCCCCTAAACTCCCCCGCGGAGGCCCCCGAGAGCCCTCTCGAGAGACCCCAGGAATCGTCCGTGAGGACTCCGACCCGAAACCCAAGCACGGTCGCGGGATGGGCCGACGGCCATTTGATAGCTGGCATACTTTTTCGGTCGCGTCCGCTAGCGAAAGCGCAGGCGGAGTCGGAAGCTGTCCGGGGCGCGGAAACAGTCCCAAGTAGCTGCTAGGCGCGAAACAGCCGGCCGGGCCAGCTCACAAGGCAGCTGCTGAGCCGCACGGCGAGGGCTGACTGGCTGAGGGCACCCAGGGAAGCTCGGGCAACGTGCAGTCCTGAGCAAAATGCAAGGGAATTCGGTGTACGCCCTGCGGCGTGAACCACTCAGTAAAGCAAGAGCGTAAGCGAGCTGATGCCCACACCCCTTACACGCCTGGTGGTCGCAAAGGCGAGGTGAACGATGAACGAGTCGCCAGCGGGGCGCCAAGTCCAGGTCTGTACCAACGGTGTATGTCAGCCAGGTGGGCTAAGCAACCGAGGTGACGTCGTAGACCTGCCTGAAGGGCTGGGACGGATCCAGGGGAAGCGCGGCGTGAGACGGAAGGCTGAACCACTCCGAAGCGACCGCGGGGCTCCCGGGGCCCACCATCCCGAGCACGTGATAGCTGGCATACTTTTTGGTCGGCGGCTCCCTGGCGAAGGTCAAGAAGCGGGGCAAAAATAGCTGGCATACGCGCCGCGTCACGACTTTCGATGCTGCGCAGCACTTCGGCAAACTCCCAGGGAGCGGCCGGTGATGCGCCGCCAGCGTCCTCGATAAGCGCTCCTCGAAAAGGAGCCGTCCAAGACTAGGCTGTTTTACCAAACGCACGGAGCTGGAAAAACAACACGCACCGCTTTTGGGTGTTGGGGCGCCTCTTTCCCCTCATGCCCGCTCATCCTTCTCCTTCTCCCCCCTTTCTCTTCCTCCTTCCTGATCTTCTTGCTCCTTCCCTGACCACCGGCCTTCACAATCTGCTCGGCCTGACGTTTCTGCTCCAATGACGCTGGCCTTCACATTCCTTATTCCTGCTCCTCCATCCTATTGCTCCTGCTCCTCCGTCTCCTCTTTTCTGCTCTCTGCTCCTCCCTGGCATCCCCTCACCCTTTCCCTGCTCCTGCTCCTCCCCATACTCCTCCACCTCCTCTTCCTTCTTCTCATTATCGTCCTTCCTCCCATTACTCCTCCTGCTCCTCCTCCCTCCTCTCCCTGCTCGTCCGTGACGCCAACCTTTACAACCTCCTCGTCCCGACGCTCCTGCCCCGCGGGCCGGCTCCCTCGCCGGACCAGCCCCCACGACACCTGACACTAGCAGCGCCCCCGATATCCTCCGAGCCTCCCCGCCCCGATGGGGTCCAGCCGGACGGCGCTTTCCCCTCGACGGGCTCGAGGCCGATGGCCATCCCGCTGGCGCCCTCGAAGTTCCTGAAGTGGTGGAAGCGCTCCCATGCGGCGCTCATCTGAGAATTCTCCCTTTCAGGGGCGCGCAAACATAGATCAGCGATCCATGGATTTGGCGCGCGGCCGCCAAATCCATGGATCGGGGGCGGTGCCCTCCCCACAATGCGGTCGGTGCCGCCTCGCTCGGCGGCGGACACCCGCGCTTCCCCACGGAAACGGGACCCGTCGCTAATCCACGCCCCCCTGATCCATGTCTGCGGTCGCCTGACCCGTGGCCGACGCCAGCCGCGTCGTCCAATCTCTCCCGCCCCCGCCCGGAACGCGCGGGGAGGGAGGCCGGGCTCGGGCTCGGGCGCGTGCGCCCTATAGCACCGCGTCGGCGGCTCGGGCCGGGCGCGCGGCGCCAGATATCCGCGGCGGCGCGGGCGAGAGTGGGAGGCGACGAGTGGGGCGACTGGCCCAGGGGAGAGCAATGCATGTGTGCAGGTGCGCCGATGCTCTGCGTCTTCGGAAAGGCCCCCAGGCGAATGCGTGTGAAATGCCCGCCCCTGGGCTCTTCGCCCCTAGCGTCGCCGCCGAGCGAGAGTGAGATCGGCAGAGGGAGAGCTCCGCCTCCTCCAGCTCCCTCTCCTTCTCTCTGACCCTCCTCCTCTCTTCCACCCTTCTCACCTCTCCTCACCTGCCTCCTTCCTCGGGGGCCCTGGAGGCGGACATCTCGCGGGCGGGCAAGGTGCTCGATGCTCCTGAAAACGAGACCCGTCGTTCATCCACGCGCGCTGCCTCGCGTCACGCCCCCCTCCCCCCCTGCTTTGCCTCCCTCTGATCCTTGTTTTCCACCGCCGCAAGAGCGACAGCCACAACCCCACCCCATGCGCGAGAACTGCGTATCACCACGGCAGGGCCGCGCGGCAGCGCGGGAGGGGGGGGGCAGCGGGGCGCCCGTCGGCCGCCGAGACCTCCCCAGGCCTCCGACCTTGTGCCGTCTTGGGTCCGCCACCGTGCGCCCTGGCACGGTCAGGCGTGGCGACATGCTACGATCAGGAACTGCTGCTGCTGAGCGTGTCGCGGCGGCGGCCCCATCGACACGCTTGTGCCGTGCAAGCGGATAGCGGGTCGCTCAGCTCCACGGGGCGGGAGGTTGGGAAAAGCTCGGGCAATTGACGCCTGGGGACTGGGGCGCTGTCAGCGTGTCGCGCCGAAGCGCGTTGGGCCGGAACCGGCGGCGCGTCACGCTCAACAAACAATCCTGGACGTATTTCTTCGTCGTGTCTTCGCCCGGGTCTGCTAACCACTGGAGCCGATGAGACGACCCAGTGGACGCGTGCCCGCCGTCCCCCTTCTCCGCCGCCGCCGCCCCTTCCGTGCATCCCCCCTCGAAGGGGAACGCCAGAGGAGCTACGGTGTGAGGGCACAGTTGCCTCCCATAGCCCAGGAGTTTCGATTTGTTTCGATGCACGGGCCCCTGGACCTCTCGACAACTTACCGGGGCCCTGTGCCTCATGTCGGAGCGTCTTTTGAGGGCGCCCGAGTCTGGCGAGGGCCCCCGGAGACCGGGAACTGCGCAACATTGATCTTTCACTACACTTAGGTTGGGCATGTCCCCCTACAGGCGCATTTTGGGCGAAAAATCAAAAATACCCCCCAAATAATCCAACACAAATAAAACATGCTAAAACAAATCGTCCCCAGACTTGTTTTTTTGCTATGTTCGAATACTCTTCATGTAGAGGGACACGCCCGACGTAACACTGCACGAAGAAGTTTGCTTCCGGGCCCTGCCTCTGGGGCCACGGGCGGCCCTGCTTGGACTTCGGGTGGCCCCCCAGACGCTTCTCTCAAGGAGGCGCAGCGGATGGAAAGCACCCTGGGCCACGGGGGCCTCCGACAACACCTGGCGCCCTCCAAGGGCCTCAAGTCGGGGGCGGCCAAGAGGGGGGCGTCCAAGAGGGGGGTGGGGGCAAATCGTGGCCGACGGCACGTGCCAGGCCCAAGGGGGGGCCGGGGACGTAATGAAATCGGACGACGAGGCGCCATGAAATCTGGGGAGATATCATGGCCCTGGCCATGATATCCACCCCCCTAGTCATCACCCCCCCTTGGCCGCCCCCGATCAAATCCGCGACGCCCGCTGCTGCAGTTTTTGTTCGAACACGCTGGCGGCTGAGATGATGTTCGAACCGCTGGGGGGGTGGGGGCGCCTGCTTTTTTTATAGTTTTCAATATCGACGTTTCTTCCTGTTGTGGGACCGTCTATTGTACAATCTGGGGTTCTCGTTCGCGCCGTGGCCGGGCCGGTTCCGTTTTGTACTGCTGTTGTTGCTTTCTCCTGTTTTTGTCTGCAATTTCTGTTCCCGCCCCCGTCCTGGTTGGTCGAAAACCGACACGCTGCACACATAACAAAACAAAACAGCCCCAGCGTTTTTGACATCAACTGAGGCTGGAGGTCTGCAACCCCCCATACGACACAACCGGCGCGGCTTCCGCCGCCAACTGGCAGCCGCTACGGGCGCCGCGCACTGCCGCCTCACGCCACGACGACCGGCGCGCCCTGCGGGCCTCCCGGAGGCTTCTGCTCCGCTTCCGCGTGC